TATGACTTGAAATCACCAGCACATGGACAGAATCAGAATTTTTTTTTAAGAGAGCCAAAACATTAGCATGCATAAGAAATTTATTTCATGGGGTTATTTAACAAGTTGTTGCCAACGACAAATTATTAGTTAGAACATATCAAAATTAACTACTATGCAATATTATGGTAAAATTTAATTTAGGTCTTAAACTCTAAAAATCGTTGTGGTAATGTCACCATCCGCTTGTATTCGTATTTAAAATATAACAATACTAAATATATATTATATCTCCAAAAATATTAATTTCACACGATATCATAATGAAAATAAATTATTAGCCGATGCATTGCTTTTGACATAAGCCACTTTATAACACGACTTTGTAACAATTTCTTAAAATATGTCAAGTAATTAATTTCTTGAAATAATACTTTCTGAAAATTTAGGGGCAAGCACTAGAATTTTTTAAAGAGTAATGTTATTTGAATTTAAAAATTTGATGTCATTTGTTGATCTGATTCACTATGACTTTTAAATTGATTGTGAGTTTCATCAAATATTAGAACTTGCTCTTCGTCTAATAATTTTAATGAAATTACATCATTAGATAAATAAATGAGATTAAATTTTTAAGTATAAATACTACTATTCTTTTCGAAAACCCTAAAGAGGGTAATAGGGATTTTTCAAAATATGAGTGGGGTCATGGTCATGGCCCACCTAGGCCTACACATGGTTCCATCACTCGGACCAAACCGGCCACATTGACAGTTGTCAGTTGTGAAGATTTTGATAGCGAATGCTCGTGAAAATCCTTATGTTCATATCAACTGCAAACTAAACTTTTTTGATTTTTCACCCTTGGGAGATTGATAAATTTAAGGAAAATTTGATCTTTGATTTTGACCAAGAGCACCAAGAATTAAAGTAACTTTTTAACCATGAATAAGGTGGCCGGAACATAGTTCAACTTCCTTTGGTCATCACAATGAATTTTTCCATTCTTCACTGTAGAATAACACCAAGTCATCCTTGGTTTTCTTTATTTTATTCTCAATTTCAGTAAAAAAAAATTGAAGTCAATGTGATGTTTGTTAGTCATAGTCATACATTTCAGAGGTAATTTTTGATGAATCGGACAGGGATTTGAGTCATAAAAATAATTTTTATATATAATTGAGATAAGATTTTGTACATCTAACATGAGTTTCGGGGCGGTTTTTTTTTTTTTTTTTTTTTTT